CACTTGGTAGCCCAGGCTGGCCTTGAACTCACAGAGATCCACCTGGCTCTGCCTCCCGAGTGCTGGGATTAAAGGCGTGCGCCACCACCGCCCGGTGGGCCCTGAGTTTCTGAGCAGAAAAGAACACGTAGGTGCTCCTGCAGCGGCCTCATGGCAGCCAGTCTGTCCCTGGGCCTTTGGATTTTCACTCAGACAGTGTCCTATCCTCCAACTCTCTTCCACCTGCTGGAAACCCCCTCCCATCTAAGCGGGTCTAACAATGTGACGACGGTTTTAGGTCTCTCTTTTAGCTGTGGATGAAATGCACATGAGCTTACCCAAGATGAAGAAGGACATTTACTGGGACGATTCTGCCGCACGGCCACCGTACACCCTGGCAGCTGCTGACTACTGCATCCCCTCGTTTCTGGGCTCAACGATCCAAATGGGGTAAGCGTGTTTTTAAAAGCCTTTGATATGTAGGAGAGCCTTTTAAAAATGTATTGCGTGTATGTATGCATGCATGCGGACATGATCGAAGAGACGTGAGCCATGTTGGGCACGTGGAGGTCAGAGGTCAACTCTGTAGAGTCCGTTCTCTCAATCCACCTCTATATGGGTTCCCAGGATCACTCAGGTCATCAGGCTTAGGTAGCAAGTACCTTTACCCACACACACACATTTCTGGCACAGATTCGATTGATCGTGGAGGCCATCTCTAAGCTGAGTTCCAGACATATATACAATGAAATGTGATCAAATCCACCCTCCATTTTCCCCTCCAACATCCCCAGTTTCCCCCAAAAAAAACATCTGTCTCCCATCCTCATTATTATTTCTTTTGCTTTCTTTCTTCTCCTCCTCTTCCTCTTCCCTTCAAAGTGTCTTATTAATGCTGCCAATGTGTACGCTAGAACATGAGAAACCAATCAGTGGCCACATCCTCCAAAAAGAATGCTTCTCCCTCCCCCAGCTCTACAGTAAGGGGTAGGGCCTTAGATGCGCGAACACACACACACACACACACACACACACACACACACACACACACACGCATGCACACACACGCATGTGCACACACCCCGCTTTGTGCTGGAATTCAGGCTGGCTTTATCTCGTACAGGTCTTGTGGTTTTGAGGCAGGTACATGCTCCATTGCTGCTGGTTTGCCCTGTCCTCTGCTCCAGCAGCGTTCTGGCTCCTGACTCCCCACATGCACATGTCTAGCCTCTCTCCTGTTCCTGTAAAGCTATGCTCTCGGTCAGACATCTCCAAATCCTCACGAGTAATGGTTTGTGGCACCCTTCTTCCAAAGGGGCCTCTGAAGCTAAAAGAGGCTTCAGAGCCGAAGCAAGGATGGCTGAAAGTGGCATTTCAGGAGCTGTGGTAAATGGCGAGAAACACTCAGGCACCAGGAGACCCATGTAGGTGGCCTACCAAGCACAGCTTAGAGAAGGTTGCCCACAGTAAGACAGGCTTGCTTCCAAGGCTGGACCCTCCCATCCTCCCAGGCCACCATGGTCCTCCTGACCCCAGCCTCTTGCTCAGTCTTGAGGAAGGGCAGTTGCCTTTTGGAGACCCTTGTCAGCCTCTCCAGCTCCTTCTCAGTCACAGAGCTTCACAGTTTTGAAAACCGAGTAACTCGTTTTCCTGTGAGTTTGCCTTGAGATAATGAAACGTTCTTTGTCCTTGCCTGGACTCCCTCCGTGGGAGAGCACAAAGTAGTTGAAGCTCTAACTTGTGGGGTAAAGGAGACCAATAGCATGCCCAGAGTCTGGGAACTTCTGATTATTCTGTTTGACTCCATAGTACTCATTTCTAATGTCCATTTAGTTGTTTCTGTATTATGGTTAAAATTATGAAAGGGGTCACAAGAATTTTATTTGATCCACATATTTGCGCTGATCATAGTTTTGCAAACTCCTAAGCAAAGGTCTACGCTGTTGGTTTTAATGCGGCGCTTTTACTCTGCGAGGGAAAGTCGCGAGGCGCGACAAAACCCATCATCGGAGCAGAGTTTTATCAGGAGAAGGGAGGGACAGAAGAGAGTGTTACCCGGCCTGTGGAAGACAAGTGAATGGAGAGAGAGGGTGGGGGAGGAGGAGAAGGAGAAGGGGGATGGAATCTGTATCCCGCGCTTATGGATTCCCTTGCACATGCACATATGGGCTTACAGAGCTAAGCCACGCATGCGCAGACTGTGTGATCACACAGCGCAAATTACAGGATCACACAGCGCACGGATTACGTAGAATGTAAGGCTCCTTACTTGGCTACTGAACTGTGCATGTGCGGCCATGTAGCTGGAGGAGTGGTCAGGAATCCCAACACATGCTTTTCAAAAAGTATGAAAATGTGCTTCTCCTATTCCTAAATTTGGAAACATAGACAATTGACAAGATCTTTGAGACAATGCTTGTCCTGACAGATAATTGGGAATATTAAATGAGACTGTAACCATAAAATACTGTGGGTGTGGTAACATATTATTATTATTATTATTATCATCATCATCATCATCATCAGTTAGTCAGGCTTTTGATTTATGGGTTCCAAACTGAAGCACAGGAAGACTAACTAGATTCTTTTTTATATTAAGTTAGCTGTAGGGACAGAAAATAAAACAAATGAGAGAAAAGCAGAAGATAGAATATTTAAAACTGCAGCCAAATATATATATATATATAATTTGTTGGAGAGACTGCCTCTAACCAAAATGGCTGACTTACCTGCCTGGTGAGTCATGCCACAAGGAGAGCCAGTGTATGGGAGGCTTCCGTGAGGGGTCCAGCTGAACTCCACTAGAACTGACTAATCAAAGAAACCATTGGGCAGCCGCTCACCTGCTCTTGCTTGTCTGCATGAATGAGGCCCATTAAAGGGAAACCTCACAGCTCCAGAAAATTTCCCTGCAGGAACCCAGGAAGTCGGGCCTTCACAGACATGCCTTATGGGAGCCAGTCCTTCCTGTGATTATGGCGCTTAATATTTGTGATCCCTTGGGACAGAAAACCAAACTCAAGCCAATGGACGCTAAGAGGGGCCCATTGGGTCCCCCCAGAAACTACCCTGCCTTTGGGAATGGCTCAATGCAGAGGCTCAAGGAATGCAGTGGGCTTACTGTTGCCTCCTTTGTCTGTCTGTCTGTCTGTCTGTCTGTCTGTCTGTCTGTCTGTCTCTCTCTCTCTCTCTCTCTCTCTCTCTCTCTCTCTCTCTCTCTCTCTCTGTTCTGGGCCTCTCCCCCAAGGCTCGGTTTTCAGGCAGGCTCTCCCGTCCTGATGGCAGGATGGCTGCTAGCAGCTCCAAGCTGGTAGCCTGCCTAATCCCACCGGAAGGACACACGGTTCTTTCCAACTTTTCGAACTCAAGTGCTGGCTTCACTATGCCTGGCTGGGCTAGGCTAGCATACCCATTCTCAAACTAACAACAACCGACATGGAGGAACAGTATTTAAGTTAGCCCAGGCTGGCTCATGTGTCCTTGCTGATGATGAGCCTATGAAAGCCTTTTTTAGATGAGGAAATTTTTTAATCATATTCTGTTTAAGGTGGTGGTGCTCAGTCTTCCTAATGCCGCAACCCTTTAATACAGTTCCTCGTGTTGTGCTGACCCCAACCATAACATTTTCATTGCTGCTTCATAACTGCAATTTTGCTACTGCTATGAATAACGGTATCTGACATGTAATCATAAATATCTTATATGCAGAATGTATTTTCATTGTTACAAATTGACCCAAAGGGGTCGGGACCCACAGGTTGAGAGGTGTACAGTCCAAGCACATCTAATTCAGAACTCAAATTTGGCTTATCTTTTTATATCACCTTTTCAGACTTGTGGTCATAATTCTCGTGAGCCAGAAATTCTAAAATCAAGGAAATGCCCTTGAACACTGAGCCAAAGTAGTGTGGAAGGGGCAGCCTGGGAAATGACTCTGCTCATGCAACTCCGTTAGAAATGACTTTCACATTCACTCAATATGCATTTCCACGTGAAAAAGAATTTTCTTTGTTCTCGGTATTAAGGAATGCATTCAAACCATAGGTTTTCTTCCTGTATGCTAGCCATATATAATAAAATACCCTCCCCTTAAATCTGAAGTACAAATTTAAACTATGTGTTTACTTGTAACGTCACAATGCATTCATCCATTCAGTCAGGTCATTTTTTTTTTCTAGATTCCTACTATGCAGTAAATTGTGTGCCAGTTGCTAGATACGGGCATAAGAAAGAGAAAGGAGGAAGTGTGTGGTGGGGGGGGATAGGTTGGAGGGCATCCAAAGGCATGAGAGAGAAGTCCGGGGGAGTGGCGAGGGGCTAGGGCTGGCCTGGAAAGGGGCTGAGGTTGGGCGCCATAAAGGAGATGGGGAGATGGTGCCTGGGTGGCCGGGGAGGTAAAAAGCAAAATGCTCACGTCATCCAGCACCATACTATTTGAATCCAGAGCAGCAGCTCTCAACCTGTGGATCACGACCCCTACGGGGGTCGCATATCAGATATTTACAGATGATACCTAACAGTAGAAAAATTACAGTTAGGAAGTAACAGTGCAAATAATTTTATAGTTGGGGGTCATCACACCACGAGGAACTAAAGGGTCACAGCATTAGGAAGGTTAAGAACCATTGCTGTAGAGGAAGCTCCAATGAGGCCTGTCGGTCTCTTCTCAATCAAATCTAAAAGTACTGTTTTAAAAATTCTGTTCCATAAATTCAATACCAAATCAGTACTGAAGTTCTATCCTCCAGTTTTTTATAGAATACAAACAAAAACAAACAAACTCTCAGAATCAAGACTTAGGATGAAAAGGCCTCCTGAAAACTCTGAAAGAAGGATTGGGGAGATGGGTCAGTCACTAAAGCACTTGCCATGCAAGCGTAAGGTTCTGAGTTCAAATCCCCAGCACCCATGTAAAGACAGGCACAGTAGTACACACCTGTAATCCCAATGTTCCTACGGCAAGATGGAAGCTTGAGAGCCGGCTGGCCTGGTATATACGCAGTGGTGAGACACTGTCTCCAATAAAGTGGAAGGTGAGGACCAACACTCAAGATGGTCCTCTGACCTCCACAGGCATGCTGCGGCATGTGTTCATGAACACTTCCACACATAAGTGCACACACACACACACACACACACACACACAGAATCTGAGTGGAGCACCAAAATTAGAAACAGTGCTATAAATACACTGGCCTTGAGATTTTAATAATTGGTGATAATAACTGCATCATCATCAGTCCCCATTTGACAAGCCCTACCCTGTGAACTAACCAAAAGATGAAAAGGTCATCTTCTGTGCTTGAATCCTTCCCATTATTGTTCGCAAGATCACTTCAGGGACATCCTTAGTTTGGGGACATCCTTAGTTTGCTTTTTTGTCGTGATATGAAATGCTTTGTGATGACTGTTTTAATGGAGGCATCTTTTTATCAGTTTAATCATGAAGA